GATAGATAGATAGATAGATAGATAGATAGATAGATAGATAGATAGATCATTTCTTGATGAATGGCCCCTTGAATAAATCCGCATGTCCAAACAAGTATATTGATGAAGGATAATTGTGGTTCTTTGTTTTAAGATGCTGTCCATGGCTTATGAAATTGATAAGTTCCATTTTAGCAACATAATACCAGGTTTACTGCCCACATAGTCTATTCCTTTAATTGTCTTGAGAAAAAACAGTTCCCCTCTTCGTTTGCACAGACACCTTCTTGATTCGTTATGGCTCTCTGGCACAGCAGTGAGAGCGCGCGCACAAGGCCTTGCTTAAGGGAGATCAAACCTATATTTTCTAATTAATCGCGCTCTTGAAACCAACTCGTTATAATAATGCGTTTCAAGAAAAAAAAAAAAAGGGGGGGAATAAAAGGAGGAATTTCACACAGTGCACGCGGAATGAACGATTTAATGTGATTGTTTCGGTCGAAGGGGACGTTTCCCGAGGCCTTATGGGGAAATAATGTCCTTATGAATTAAATAATAGGGTTATTACTTTCATTGATTTTAGCTGTCTGGGAATTTAGTGTTCAGCTCCGGTCTTAACCCGTCCTCCCCCTGCTGTTTTTCACTCTGGCTCCCTCCTCATCCTCTCGTCTAATTATTTTTCCTGCAAGACCCCCGATTCCAACAGCGCAAATAGCACAGTCACTGGGAGAAAATTATGTAAATATTATTAAAGGGACTCAGGCACGGAAATTCATTTTAGGTCGGCGCAGCAAAGTAAAGCTCTGTCCCTCAATTTATTTGCAAATAAAGGCGAAGTGACCGGGAGGGATAAGGGATATTTAGCCGGGCTGTCAACACCGCTCCTCCGTGCACCGGCTCGCCAGAATTAATGGTTTTAATAATTGGGATTTCGGTTTCCAGGGAATTGCTGGAGTTTACACTTCATAAGCCAAACACACTCTTTTTTTTTTTAAACGTGGACGTGCGCAGGACCGGTGGGTGCTAGACGCACGGGGCTCGCGCGCACGTGCACGTTTGGGGAAAGCGAGTCCCCTAAACACGTTTAATTTTTGCCATCCTTCACTTCGCCCCATACTTTTTTCTTTTAGCTCTGACAACAGCTGGTCAAAATACAAACGCGTGTCCTTCATATCAGTCGCCGTCTCCCTCTCTCCGATATCTTTATCTGTCTCCCCCCCCCCCCTCCCCCCCTCCTCCTCCTTGGGGGACTAGCAGTCCTATTAGAACAAATGACGAGGGGCCCAGGCGCTTTTGGAGGAAGGCGCAGGCAGGCGGGCGGGCGCGCGCCTGTCCTATTATGTGCGACACATGATCAATAGGGCGATAACACAGCAACATCAATATAAGCGACAGAACAATGAGGGATATCATCGAACATCTATCTTAATATAGCCGACTACAAGGGCCGTCTGACAGCCGCGGCAGCTCATGAAAATTCCGCCCCACGAATCTACCACAATCTCGGCCCCCTCCTCCTCCTCCCCGCGCTCAATAGACTATGCGCACTCACGCACACGGGTCGCGCGCAAACACACACGCGCGGTGCAGCTGGCGCGGCTATTATTTTCCCATTTCAATTTGACACCCCTGCCTTTCATGCTAATTCTATTATTGTAGGAAGTTTATGTGATTCCATATCACTAGAAATCGGTAATGTCTAATAACCCTTTGGGCTGAAAGGAGGAGGGGGAAAAACTGCCTCGAGACTCGCGGCAGCCAGTGGGAAAATAATTACTTTCATATCAAAACTCAGCAGGAGGCGCAGGGTCCTATAGCCCGCGGCCACTAACCTCATTCCGGCTAGGCCTTTCAAATGAATAAATTTGTTAAAGCAATAAATACAAACAGCCAGACGGACTTGAGCCACAGCTCCGGCTCAGTACACAGGGGGAAAAGGGGGGATCTATCTCCTGTAACATGACAAAAACTCCATCAGCCATGATCCAAGGTTTAGCCACACCACCACCTTTTTTTGTTTTCTCTTTCCCACAAGATGTCCCTGCAAAGACAGTGAATCAATTTAAACAATAACTTTATTTATCAAAATGTTAACATATAAATATCATTTTCTCCTTTTACAATATCTGAGGATTTCTGTTGTGTTTAGGGTGTTTATTGTCGACTAGGTTTTGTTACAAGTTGCTCGCCAGAAAAAAAGAAGAGAAAGGAGAGACCTGCTGCTAAAGGTGTTCACAGGTTTACAAAAGGCCTAAAGCCTGGATATCAGGGAAACCCCCAGCTTTAAGGAGCCATGTGGAGCCATCACACCTTAAGATAAAAAAGAGAAAGAAAAAGATGAGGATTAAGTCTCCTGATTCCTGATATGCTTTAGAGTTTCTTTAGAGCTTTGGGAATGTTTGAATAATCTGAGCGTTGTTCCTGGTCCTCTGTTTATGTTTGCTTTCTTGAAAGTGTTAGTCCATATCGAGATCCTCTCCATCTGTTGCGGGTGTTTCTTGACAGTCTGTGTTTGTCTTGAGACGCTCGGAGAGGTCTGGAGACGCTCGCTCCTCTCTCGCACCAGTGTCTTTTGCACAAGGCTCAACAGATTGACAGCCATTGGCCGAGGCCTCCGTTTGAACTTTGAGACTCCTCTCCTCGCTCGTGTCGGCGGAGCTCAGCCTGGAAAAAGCTGTCTGAGCCACAGTGTTGGGTGGAGGAGAGCCGGGGAACCTTGCGTTGCTGCAGTCACCGCCACACTCCTCCGTGTCACCTCCCTCTGCTCTGCTGCCGGAGTGACTGTGGCGATGCTGCGCGTTACGCTCCACGCTCTCAGAGTTCAAAGGGTTGGCGGCGCCGGTGAGGCCGGAGAGGTCAGAGGAGGCCGGCGTGCCTTCGGCCGTCCCGCATCTCTGTCCCAGGCCCAGTCTGTTAATGTTGTCCTGACAGGGTGTGGCCTTCAGGGCTGTTTGGGGCACCAGGAAGCCCAAAGGCTGATGGGCAATGGGGTAAAGCAGGAAATGGCCTTTACCCACCAGTGTTCTCTGATTGGACAGCGAGGGGAAGTCCAGCTGTGATTTCCGCCGAGGCATAGAGTCGGAGAGGAGGCTCTCCACGCTGAAGGGGTTTCGCTTCTGCAGGGCGGAGGACCTCGGGCCTCCGGGGCTGGAGCTGTGGGTGCTGCCTGGAGAGACCTGCTCCGGCTCTCCCGCCGTTCTTTGGTTTTGGTGGCTCTGTAGATGGCCGAAGTCATGTCGCGTTTGGTCACAGCTGGATTCGCTCTGGAGTCCCCCCGCTCCTTTTGAGGCCGGCAGCTCGATGTGAATAGTCCCGCTGATGCTGGAGGGCTGCTGCTCGCTGTCGGTGAACTGCGACACGCCGCTGTCGCTCTCTGAGCCTCCGGGCGTGTGGAAGCTCTCACCTGCCAGGAGTTTGTTCTGTGACTTCAGCAGCTTCCTCTCCTGCTTGCGTTTCTTCTTCTCGGCCCGCTCGCGCTCCCGGCGTGCGATCTCCTCGGGGTCCATGGGCTCGCCGCTGCAGGTTGTGGGGTGGGAGTTGTGAGCGGGCCGCCCCGGCCCTTTCTTTGTGTTCTCCTTCTTCCTCCATTTAGCCCGTCTGTTTTGGAACCACACCTATGGAGATGTGCACACACAGATCCATCAGTGAACTCAGTGAGATACACAGGGTTGCACATAAGGTCACTTTTGAGTTCCATTTTTGAGGTCGCACAAAGTCAGCGGCCAAACTAAGTACCAGAAAGACCTTTATCATTTTGGTTTTGGTTGTAAATTGATATAATTATTATTTTATTTTTATGAAAAAATTCAAAGTTGGTTGGAAACTAAAAGTTTGTTCCAAATAACTTGCTTCTGATTACCGTTAAACACCTATTGCTGCCTTTTAAAAGAACAAAAAAAAACTGCTATTCAATCACAACAATAATTAACACAGCCTCAACATTTAAAGAGTAACTATGAAAAACAAGGTATTTTTAAATTGGAGTTCAAAAACATCTTAATGAAGGTCATATAGACTGTTTGACAAGGCATTGGAGATACATTGATTAAACTCCAAAGCCTTTAAATTGTTTGTGTGATATTAAGAGACATCTTTTTCTCCTTCTTACTTTTTCTGTCCCTGAGAGAAAATAAGAATGATTTATTCTTTTAACAGTGTAGGCAGCATTAAATTAGTTTCACATGAGTCTGACAACTCACTCAGCAGACCTTACATCTGCAAAAATAAAAAGGGAAAAAAACAACAGATTGGCTACAAATCAACCCAGAATCCTGAAACAGGTTCTTCACTGATATGTATCCCTGCGTACTGTAAGATTGAACACTGTCAGACTCCATGAGGTCAGTAGGTCACAGCCGTGGACCGGTGCATGCACAGATGTGCCAGAGTTAATTACTAATAAGTCAGCGTAATGGACACCTCTGCCAATTACATTTATTGTTCCGCTGCTCCTCAGCCCTTCCATCCATTTTCCTCCACACCCAGCCATCCACATGCACAGAAGGGGTGCAAAGCACAGTGGTCCCCTCACCGAGCCGAGCCAAAACGGGGAGCTTCCCCCACCTTTGAGCTCTCACTGCCGGCCTCTGGGCGCTCTAACAGCCTCGTGTTCGGCACTGATAACACCAGGAGTTAAGCATGCACAAGCAGGATCCGAGAACGTTGCATAATAAGGACGGGAGACCAACATCATGTGTGACAATGGTGCTCCTTATGAATTGTTAATGTTGGTTCTATCTTTCCCTGGCAAACCTAGTGATAAAGGGGCATTAAGCAGCTTGAGGGAACAATAATCTTAGGTTTAGGAACCAAATCCCCAAACAACATAAAGCAACGGCAAGCTCTGTCTCGGTCTCGCTTTTACTCATCCGGAAAGTGAAATATATGTGCTGTGCTTAGAAATACATGAATAGCCTCTGGTCTATAAATGACCATAAATGGAATATAAATGTCAAATACAGCATGAACAAATGAAAAAAAAAAAAATCAGTCCAAAATCCTACATTCTTATTCCTCTTCATTATTGTCTTTTTTAATATTATTGTTCTCACTATTCTGATTACTATTATTATTGTGGTTGATGTATTCCTAATATCATTACCATTTAAGCTATAGAGCTGAATATAATCAAATTAAACAAACCAATATTAGTAAGCTGTTTATGGTACTATTGACTTTTTTTCAAATTTGTTCCTCAATTTAAGAAAGAAAAATATTTGGTGATTTATGCTATATTTGTTGTTTTTTCCTGTTCCTTGTAATATTCATCACATAATACCACTGCTTTTACCACTAATAAAGAGTATAAATAATGTATTAATAAAAAATAAAAAACAGCCTAATTCAAATACATCAAAAGTAGAGTTTAATCCCCTAGAAGTACAAAACAGCAATTAAGGAGCATATAATGGAGATAGTGATAGTAAAAATAAAAAAGACAAAAATATATATTATTTGAAAATGAAAAGCTATTGAAAAAATCTACCTTCTATACACATGGGTTTCTCGTAAAGAGCACGGTTTTTATCCCACCATAAATCAATGTCTGCAAGCATAATAAAAAAAAACAAAGAAGAAAGAAAACAACTCTTAGGTGCCTGGATTCTGAAGTATCTATCCTCAGTGTGGGGCAGGCCTTCGTGGGCCGTGCACGTGGATGTCAATGATTGAAACATTATTGTTCTTTTGACATCTTATCGGATTAAACTGAGCCAAGAGGAAATAACGATTCTCGAAATAAGGGAGACTGATTTGCTCGTATTTACCTGAACTCTCGATTCCACGAGGTCCAGCCTGAGCGCGAGCGCCTCCCGCATGAACACGTCCGGGTAGTGGCTCTCGTTGAAGGCTTTTTCCAGCTCCTCCAGCTGCCAGCCGGTGAAATTCGTCCTCGTGCGTCTCCGTTTGCAACCGGGACTGTCCTTATCCGGGTCCCCCGAATCTGCAGACGTGTTGGTGTGTGTGTGTGTGTATTCACGATTTTAGTGTGTGTGTGTGCGTGTGTTTGTGTGCATGTGTGAAAGACAGAGAGAAGATGTTCATGCTACAAGGTGCGTGGCATAATTGGCGTATAGATTTAAACTCGTTGGGTGGAAAGCTGACTGGATTTTTTTTGCCTAGCTTAGGCTTTTCATATTGTTGCCAGTGATGGGTCGCCTCCCAAACAAAGGCTCTTACGTCCGCTGGAAATAAATAGTATCCTCCGAGCTTCATTTTGCTATTTAGTTTGGACAACTAATTAGGACCAAAGTATGAATCAGCAGCCCCCTTGACGACTAAATCGATTTTCAATTCAATCTCCAGGGGAATGTTTCCTTGAACATTTTCCAACCACAAACTGTAAATAAACTTTTTTTTTTGTCTAAGCAAACACAAACTAATTCTTTCACACACGAGGATTGACTTTTGTCTCTGTAAAGTTTTGTTTTAAAGTAACTTAGCCATAAAATTAACAATTTAAGTGCTAATGAACCTCTTCTTTAATTATACCGCCATGTCTCACCTGTGTTAACGGTTCAAAATACGTCCGACGCAAAGCAGGGGGCCTACCTGAGAGTTTGAAATGCGGACTGTCGGCGGACAGAAGCTGGTTGGAGCTGACCACCGAGGCCGAGCAGGAGCCGTTTAGTAATCCGTCTATAGAGAAAGGAACCGCGGCCGCGGACTGCAGCTGGTGTCCGCTCGCGAGCTCGTAGACGTGCTGGTGATGGTGGTGGTGGTGGTGATGGGGACCGAGCGGGTACGGGAAGCCCACTAGCCCGCCCAAGGAGCCTCCGAACTGGGCGTGAGGATGCTGCTCGAGGACCCGACTGTCCATGCTCGCCGGGGCTGCGGCGGGGCCGAAGTGAAGACGCAGAGGGAGGCAGTGTGGCCGAACATGCAGTCGAAAGCCCGAAAAAAAGAAAAAAAAGTCAAAGAGCGGAGGAAGAAGCGGCGAAAAGACCCGGGCAGAAGGCCGCCTCCCGCCGGCCACGGTGCTGTGTGTGGAGGAGCGGCGGCGGTAGCGGCTTATGGGGACACACTTGACGCTTACAGTCCAGTCGAGATGTTAACCCTGCTCTTTCTCTCCGCGAGCCAGCTCATTAGGACTCATCCATCTGCTCGCGGGGCCAATAAGAAACGTTAATCGCCACGTGACGTCAGAGACGCGGTTAATGGAGTAAGGGAAAGCAAAGCCGGAGAGAGTGAGAGAGAAAAAGAGGTGTTTTCTTTTTCTTCTTTCTTTTCGCTACTCCTCTGGATCGGTCGCTAATTACCTGACGCGGTCCTTTAATTCGGATCTGTCAAAACAAGGAGGACGAGACTAAACTGGTGCCCGAATGGAACTCTTCCGAGTGATTGAAGCACTAGCACCACTAACTAATCAGAGTTAAAATCAACATTTGTTCAATTGAGATAAATCCTTTTCTTCTAGACTGTAAAGAGCAGGCTTCAGTCTCCTCTTTAGGTCTCGTCAGTGCGTATGTAAGTGTTTTCCAGGGTTATTCAGGGTCAGATTGATCCAATAACAGTGCCTTTATCATCCCCCCCTTTTTCCTGAGCTGTCACATATTATTTTAAACTACATGCTTCTCTCCCACACCACACACACACACACAAACACACAAACCCTCCTCACTTAAGGGTTTTGCCGCCAATCTTTATTTCTCATGTATCACCTGAACAGCTCACACCACCACGAAAAATGTGTACAATAGGTTGAATAGAGAAAATTGAACTAAAAAACAAACAAAAAAGGCAGAAAAAACTGTTCAGCTCACACTGAGCTGCAAAGTGTAGCTCATTTTAATTGGTGGTTTACAAGATGATTTTTTAAATCCTTGAAATAACAAAAAAGACTAAACAAGCTTACCCTAAGACCTATGCAGCGTCTCTCTTGTATTTTTTCTTTTAAAGATGCTGATTAAAATGATTTAATGCCTGCTTTAATTGAACACCTGCTGTTTGGATGCTGAGGAGAGACCGTATTATGGCAGTTAGGATATGCAACCAAATCCCTCAAAGTTATTGTGCATCAGTGAGGTCAAATAAACTATTGAAAAACATTTTTCGCAGCATTAATACAGGTCAAAATAGATTTTTATAGCTACTTAGATGCTTATAATCGAAATCAGACATATGGTAAGCGGTTCACACCAAATCTTTTCACCTAAGCCCTTGTCTTTGGGGATAATTTAAGACAAATTTAGATATAATTACTCAGTATTTTGCAGTCAGATGGCCCCTATTGAAAACAGCTATCGCCATAAAAGCACATTTTCACCATTTTGAAAAAATAAATCAAACAGTAAAATTCGCAAGAATGTTTTTTTTTTTTTTACATCCCCTCACTTTTGTATCAGAGACCTACATGGCTTTGATCTACGTAGCACGGTTCATGCTGCCACATGGTGTAACACTTAAACATGGATGTTCTGCAGCTGAGAAAATGCGATGACAAAGTGGTCTACTGTGAAGCTCGTCAGCAGGAGACACGAGGGCCAAAACCGTACAACACTGGAGTCTGTGTCCGCTGTCAATGAATCCAAAAGCACAGCGATATTTTTGGTGTGTTCGCTATAAATCTGCCATTACCGTCAAAGAAATCATTTTGACTTCTATTTAAAAACGTATTCAAACACCATCTGTAAAAATAGATTCATTCTCCTCCTTTTACAAACTGCCATAATGTTTGATGATTACAGATAGTGTTGTTTTACTGTCTGTGGTGTGGTATTTGGACGACATTACTGTGAGTAATACATCACTATTTTATTATAATAATGCTCTTACCGATACTAAACACCATATTGTCAAAGCAGGATGTCATGTTTACAACATAGTACCTCCAAAGCATATTAAAACAACAGGGGCACAACAGAATAAAAAACCTTGCATGAGCCACTGTGGAAATATAAACATGGAGTAAAAATATATAAGCACACTGTGGTTTGTTGGCCCTGGCTGTAGTAAATCTGCCATAATTCTGGCTTGTGTACACTTTTAAGAACCTTGCCATTACCACTTCTTCATTTTTGTCTTTGCAGAGGAAGATAAAAGTTGGCCAACCAGACTGTGACTGTCGCCACCTGGAACTGGGATACGTGGCACACACAGGCTGACAAAACCCACAAAATGACTGGTAACGGTCTCCCCCCTCAGTTGGCATATTATTTAAAAAATTACAAGTTTTGAAAAAATTACATTTAGAGTATTGCTACTCAAATAAGAAAAAAGAGGCTAACTTTATATGATGGCAATGAATGAAATGGCTGTGGCTCTCCTGAAACGGTTTAATTCATCTTGTGGGCGGGGGAAAAAAGATCAGGGCAATTCACCCAATGCCTGCTAGGACATCTCACTCAGAAATGGTAAAAGTTAAGCTAGAGTTGGCACAACAGGAAAATGTCACATTTCAGTGAACTAAAATCACCCTTTGGAGACCAGGACTGTCTGCAGAATCATTTGTTCCAGCGCCTGTTGTAAAGCTTGAGTTTTTTTTTTTTAATGGGGAATCAGCAGAGCAGTCAGAAATACTAAGAAAAAGAACCTGTAATGCCTTAAATCAGAATTGCATTTGTTAGAATCGGTGTCCTCCCCTGCTCATCGGGACCATTTTAATCACACTGAGCAGAACCCACGTAGAGCTCTGCTCTTGTGTCTGTTGGAGGTGTAAAAATGGAGGACGGCTGCAATTAAAATCTCAAGTTATCCTATCACGTGAAGGGTCTGGCCTATTGTGAGGGAAATGATGCTCGAATTGGAGTGTGCGTTGCAAAATGGAAAATGAAAGGTTTCAAGAATCACAATAATGGCACGGGCCAGGAGCAACTGGGTGTCCAGGTGGACATCTTTAGGGGAGCAATGGAGGAAGGGAGAGGGAGAAAGATTATACATATAAATTGTAAACGGTGTCACCGGGGCCAAATCTTGCCCGAGGCGGTGACCGCTTCATTTTGTGTTAAATTTCTTGACAGAGAGCCACCCTCGTGCTGGTGAATACTGAATGGTAATCAGAGCTGGTTGAATAAGTGCCTCCCCCTCCCTCTTCCATTACTGTGAATTAATTCGACTTTATTTATCCAATTTCTGGAGCTGACAGAATGTTAATTTGAGTTGAGATTTCTCTCTGCTGTTCTGCCTGTGACCCGTAGCCCTGGGATTGGCGTGTTGTAATAACCTGAATCTTTCACCAGAAGCTCCGATAATTGTTACCTTATTAGCATGTAAATTGTTTAATTAATATTATTATGAAGAACCATATAATCCCTCCGTTACTTGACCCCGAGTCCACACACGAGCAGGCTTTCTGCATTTCAATGTCTCCTTTTTAAATGGACTCTTTAATGTTAGCTGGTTGTCGGGCTGTTATAAATCCCTTTTCTCCAATCTCAGAGCAACTTTGAAGAGCTCGAGATGCACTTTTCATGTCACCCCTCTCCATCCCTTTGATTCCTCTTTATTTCTTTGCTGCCCCCTCTGCTGTGTATTTATTTTGCTGCTGCCATTTCTGAACATCAAACTCCAAACGCTTTCTTGTCGTTCCCTTTTAAAAGCTTTTTTCCTTTCTCTTTTTAAAGACCCCCCCCCCCCTCCCTTCACTTTCCCATTGGCTGGGCAAGCCAAACACATGCAGTGCTGAATGAAAAGCAGCCCTTGACATGAGGTCCTCAGAGACCGCCGCATTTAAATGTGCTTTTCTTCCTTCCTCCTCATTTTTTGTGCTGGGCACGAGCTACATTGTCAGATGCTAGCTTTAATTAACTTGATAATAAGATGGGTGACTCACACACAGGCCAGGGTTTGACTCGCCTTGCGTGCAGAGCCCTCCTCCCCTCTGCCACCACTCTGTGCAGGCAGCAGCTCAGGGAGAGAGAAGATAAAAACAAAACAAAACAAAACACTGGTCCACAGTGAGCTATATTGTCATCCAAGATCTGATACATAAAATGTTGGGGAACTATTTTTTAAAACATGTTTTTATTCAGTCAGTTTGTCACCACCGGTCTTGTAAAAGCTGGATGAAAATTCCCTAAATTTAGGACCACACCTCTTTTATGATCTGATGATGACAACTCCTAGATACAGTCATGTTGCTAATGGTAAAACAAATGTATTTATTATAATGCGTTTCTGAATAAAACATCATTATTCAAGCAAAGTCCATGGACATATAATTTTTTTATATATTTAAAAACACCCCAAAAATTTTCTTTAAATACTTAGCAGTAAAATCTTTAAACTCAAATAGTAAATCAGCACATATAGTGGTTATCTTAAAATCAAAAGCTAATAAACAGTGGTCAGCCAAAAATGTAATCTAATGTCTAATGCGTTCTCATTCATGTGACTGCAGGTTTATCGATTCTTCAGCAACTGCTTCATTGAATCTGTCAACAATCATGTTTGTGTCAAGTCAGAGTTTACAACTATGAAGTAAAAGTTGGGATTTCACTATAAAAGATGATCAGGGGTCCATTAATCACTTTAAGGAAGGAGCTAACATACCCAGCACCATCTCTACATCTGGATCTCTCCTGATCTTCTCCACGCAGAGCTGAAGCTGAACATAGAAGATGGTTTTCTGCTCTCCTTTTGTCTTATTGTGAGCTCTCTCTGTAAAACCTCTTGGCCCTTGTGTCCTTCAAAGAACAAAGGACAGCTTTTCAGGGATAGAGCCTACCACTTCTACCACCAAAGCACGGTGGTGGAGCTGTCATGGTTAGATGTTGTCTCACTGCCTCTGGGATGGGTTTGCTTTATTTAGATTCACTTAATGGACTTAACGTTTCTGTCTCATATCAAGAAGTATTTCTTTTTTATTGAACGATAACTGTAATATGAATGACCGCTGAAAAATGGCACTTAAAGAAGAAACAACAAAAAAAAGTGGTCAAACATTTTGACACGCTATTGTGGACAACTGTGCAATTCTAATGTATATTTGCAATAATAGTGTTTTGTTTTTATTTTTTTCCAAAAAAGAATTTTACAAGTTATGGACAAATTTTTGATTTATGTGACAGCACAAACACAAACCCTTTGTAAGCAGTCCAAGGACTTTTCACCTCATCTGAT